AATTAGAGTTGGACTCTAATTTGGTATTTAATTAAATAAGTTCGTTGTAATATCTTGAAATTAGAGTTTGACTCTTATTTTTGTATTTAATTAAAAATTGATTTTAATTAAATTCAACCGTCTTAAATTTTGAAATTAGAGTTGAACTCTAATTTGATATTTAATTGAAATTTTATTTTAATTAAATAAATCCGCTAAGTAAATTAATTAATTAATTTGATTAAATAATTAATTATTTAATTGTTCTGATCTATTTGTCCAAATTAGTTTAGACGATCTTAATTGCTAGAAATTTGAAACATGTTTGCATATAATATTAGATATTATATAGGAAAGTATTTATACGATGAATGTTTTATTAGTGGATGATTGTGGACTCGACCATATGGATGTGTTAAATGGTTAGTTTTATTCTTATTGTTTTGTGGGTCTGCGAGTTCTTATTTATTTTAGACCTGCGAGTCCGTTGTAATTTTATAGACCTGCTTGTCCAATTATTTAGACATGCGTACCAACTAGTATAGGATACATGTTGTAGCTGGACTAATTGGAGATGCAAGAAGAGGAGGAGACCAAAGAGATTGAGCATTGTATGAATCAATACAATACCTCATAGGAACGAACCAACTAATCTTCCTTATGGCTCGAGTAGACTAGATAGTAAAGTTCATAATCGTCAACACTATTATATGTATGTTTATATATATATATATATATATAGAGAGAGAGAGAGAGAGAGAGAAGTTCGAGCTAATGTTTCGAAAAGCTTATAATTATTTATAAATTAGTCGAACTTTATTGTTATTCACACATTCTACAAGATCCACAATATTTACTCATTAATACTCACTTATTATCCATAAAATTTGTAAAACTCAATCCTATAATCTAATAATTTTTTTGTCAAATATTTAAATTGAGAAAATACTAAATAGTGATTTTTGTATAAAAAAATATATAAGTTGGATCTTTATGATTTTAAGTATCTACAAAGTAATGTGTTTTTCTTATAAATATTTGAACAGTGAAAGTACTATAAAATTGGAGCTAAAAATATGAATCTTGTTACATGTACATCAAGTCTTACATAATGAGTTATATAATGCCACATAATATTCTATCATTTGACAGTTTACAATAAACTTTTTCATTCAAGAACTGGGCGAGGCGTCTCAGATGAACACCAGGCTCTTCTTTCATATCCTCATACCTCAAGAACAGTATCCTGTCAGAATTTTTCTTGAATTCTTTCCAATAATCTAACACACACAAAACGGTCCACATGGGCTCACTCCTCTACAAAACAGGTCAAAAGCCTCTTCGAGCGAATTCGTGCAAGTCTCCTCGAGCTTTACATTGTTTGCGAAGTGCCAAAGGGACACAAAAGTGTCCTTCGGGTTTCTACAAAGATAAATAATCTTGCATGCAGAATCTTGCACTGTTTTTGGCAGGGAATGATAGGGTAAATGAGCGGTAAAAAGCCTTAAAGATGACTGATCTGGGATTTGATTATCATAGAGATTTGCTTCCAAGAATGGCACGAGATCATGAGGATTCTTGTTGAGTAAAGGATGATTTTTCTTAACAGGATATCGACTTCGGTTCACTAAGGTGAAAACGATTGCCTTCAACCATGTAGTTCCTGATTTAGGAGTGGTAATAAGAAGAACATCAGAATCCTGTGCATGGAATTTTTTTCGACATGTAATGGCTCCTTGAAGATGTTTAGCACCATACCAGAAGCCTTGGTATTTATATAGATAAGAGTACATCCATCCTTTTTCTTTTGGCGGAGAGGACATTAATTCCTCAGATTCCATCTCTTCTTCTTGGAAATACTTTGAAGGCAATAGAAAAGTTTCAGCTGCCGTCTTTTTAGCTCTGACCTCTTCTTGTGAATGATGCTCTAATTACAGAACATGCAATATTATGTAAGAATTCAGTAAATTTCGTAAAGTCAACTCTACTCATATTTGGGATTGGTGATATTAAAGTCAACTCTCTCATATTCTTATCTGTTTTTTTGCTCAATTGTAGCTAAATGCCGGGGAAATGTTAAGCAATTAGTAGACAACGCCATTATAAAATTTTCATTTGCAAATTGCAAGTACCATAATTGTCCTTACCCTTACACCACTTTTCCAAACTCATTCCCTCAACATAGATGGCAGACCTAAATAAGAATTAAGAAATCATGTAGTCTAGAATGACAAAGACCAAGCAGTTTCCGAATGGAATTTCGAACCTGAGTCTCAACGTCAGGGCTAAAGGAAGAAGAAGATTTCTCCATGTTAATGCACTAGCCATTCCCCTTTTCATAGCATAGCAGGATAACAAGAATTACCCGGCAATACGAAGTCCAAGCTCGAGGGAAAATAAGGGATTCATCCGCAAAGAAAAGGTGTCTGAAACAAGGTCCAATTCTGCTTGCCTAATAGGAGATTATAGAGCTTAGGCGCACAAAATATATAGATAAGGGTGCCACGTTGTTGGCCTAATTGTTAGATATTTTTCATCAT